GAAAATGCGTTTTTGGCTTTCCCCAGCCATTTTGGAAGCTCTGGGAAACACTTTAAGGTTTACGATGACCTAAACCCGAAACCCCAACAGAGGGAGAGAGAAAGAGAGAGAGAGAGAGAGAGAGAGAGAGAGAGAGAGAGAGAGAGAGAGAATGCAGTTTGGCCTCAGGTAATTAGGTGTCTGGCACATTCGGCCATGAGAATCTCTTGGCCGAATGTGCCAGACACCTACTCACCTACTCGTCCTGCAGCAGCCTGTGGGCCATCCTCCAGGCAGGGCCGTTTTCCCTCCGTATGCTGCTCAGCTTGGGTTTTTCTGTGCCAGCACTCAGGCGATGTTCCTGGAGTACTACGCAAAGGCTGGAACGTAGCTGAATTGACGGAAGGGCATCAGCAGGAGTGCAGATGATTGTGATCGCAAGGAGTAATTAAGTACTTTGACTGCTGCCAGCCCTCTTTGGCTCCAAGAGTGTGCACCGGTGGCCGCAGCAATCCGGAGGTCAGCATGGGCAAGATGCAGGTGGGAGAAATCCTGTCGAAGCTTCTTCGCTTTGCTCATGCCCTGGTGCAGGTCGCAACGACCGAGCAGCGCCTGACACGTGTGAAGAAGGAGCCCCGCATGGAGGCCATTCACCACTCAGTGCCACAGCGGTTCTTACTCAGTCCTAACAAGTTGTGTTCTTGTCTTCAGGAGCCTGAAGCAAAGCGGGGGCTGAGGCCACCTCGTGGGGGAGGACGAAAGAAAGACTGGCCTGAGGCAGTCGAGCCTGCAGGGAAGGGCGAAGCAAAGGCCAGGCAGAGTTTGCGCCATCTCTCGATATTGCACGGCTTAGATGCTGGTTCGCCTTGCACATGGGCTTGTGCAGGTGACATCGATGAAGCAACTCTTGACTGACGTGCAGCAGGAGCCCTGCAAGAAGGCCAGTGACTGAGCAGTGCAATATCGGTTCTTCGTTCGCCTTGCACATGGCCTTCTGCAGGTCACAATGATCAAGCAAGAATTGACTGATGTCAAGAAGGAGCCCTGCATGAAGGCCAGTGACTAAGCAGTGCAAGATCTTTTGTTACTGAATCACTAAAGAGTTGTCTTCTCCTCGCTGCAGGCCGTTGCTGTTCGTCTGAGAGGCAAGCAAGCGGACCAGAGCAAGGCGAACTTAGTTCTGTACGAGGCTCTCCGACGAGACTCTGCACTGTAATCTGGCAGGTGAACAGCGGCATGAACAAGGGCAAGAAGTACAAGAGGCACGTTGAGACTGACATCAAGAAGTTGTCAGAGATGGACAACTACCTCAGTGTGCCGTGCCTGGGCTGAATTAATTAGAGTTGTTCTGTCGTCATTCTCGCAGTTAAGGCACAGGGCCTGGAAGCGCCTGATCTACTCGATGATCCCGGGCGGCTTCAAGGTCCACACTGAAGCCCTCGAGATGCTCCAGGCTGTGGCTGAGGAGGTCATGCAGGAGCACCTTGTGTCCGCGGTGCCGAGATGCCTGAGAGGGCGTCGACAGTGTAGAGTCTAGCCCAGAATGTTGGAATCCGGATAAGGCCACATCATGCTGGGGTTCCCTATACATTACTTGTAATTAACGATGGAGGCTAGATCGTTTCCAACTTGTGGGCTTCTGCAGACTCTGGGTTCGGGTGGCTGATTTTCGTCCATCCTTGGGTAAGATCGCAGACGTCGGTCTGATGGGGCAGCTGGGGATTCGTGTATGCCTGAATCTGCCGGAATGAATCTGTGGCACCCGGGCACCGCGAGAGCAAAAGCAATACCATTCTGGCACGGTGCAGGCGTGCTGCCAATGACAAATGCACATGCTGGTAGTGAGCCAGGTTGTGCAGTCCGCTGTGGTGGCCAGGTGCCCAGCATTGTCTCTGTGTCCGAGTTCCCGATTGTATCCTTGGGGTGCTTGGCAGAACTCTGTGTTCAGCCATTTTGGCTGAAGCTCTGGCCTTAAGTGCCGGAGAAAACTTTTGGCTGTAGGGCTGTAGGGGCACCATGGATGATGCAAGCCTTCAGCCGGGAGAAGAAGTTTTGCCTGATCCGGTGGGCGAGCAGACTGTGCATCACCTCGTATGTCTGCAGCTGCATTTCTCTGAAAGCCTCCGCAACATGATGGACAACATGGAGTCGATTGTTCGGAGACTGAACTTCTTGACTGATGAAGTCAGGGCCCTGAGGGAACAGGTGTCTGAGGCATCTGCAGGCCCGACTGCTGCCTCGCGTAAACGCCCCCGCAGTCGCAGTGTCTGACGGCTGCAGTTTTGGCTTTACGAAGCTCTGCAAAGGACACTTCTCACGACTGAGACTATACCTTGCTTGCAAAATTTGCCAGGGAGCACGGGGTGGCTGGCGGAAGGCCCTTTTCCTGGCTACTGGCATGTGCCTGAGTGGGAGACAAGGCAGACACTACAATGTCTGAGTTTGGAAAGCCACTTTTCTGGGTATTGCCATGGGCCTGGAGTTTGGAAACCCACCTTTCTGGGTACTGCCATGGGCCTGAGTGCAGACACTACAATGTCTGGTTTTGGAAGCCAACCTTTTCTGGGTACCGGCATGTGCTTCAGTGGGAGACAGGCGAGACAGCACAATGTATGATTTTGGAAGCAAACCTTTCTGGGTAATTACTGCTGGCATGGGCCCGAGTCGGAGACAGCCCAGACACTACCATGTCTGATTTTGTTTGGAGCCGACGAGGCCGCCAGGTTGGAACGCCTGATTTTTATTGGGTTAGCGGTGATCAGGCACACAGTGTCTGAGTTCTTTGGAAGGGTTCGGCACCTGCACAGCCGCCATTAACCCGGGCCGAAGAGAAAAGGAGTTCAGTCGTCCTGGCCTGCATAGGAGGTGTTTGCTTTGAGCAGCGGCCGGAACTGCTACAGCGAAGAAGGAAATCCAGTGTGGTCTTCCACGCCACTGTGAGGCTGAGACCGTCGTCTGAGGATGTGCTCACGGCGATCGTGACAGCTCCTGAAGCCTTGCTTGCAGTTGTCGATGATACATTGTTACACGGAACACTTTAATGACTGAGGAAATGAGGTGACTGATTGGCTACACCTGGATATGCTCGACGTCTGCCTGAAGAAATTGGAGCGAGCCCGTCTATTTGGTGCCGCGGCAGCTGGAGGCGTGCTCTTGCTTCGCGAAGAGTCTCGGTGCCGAAGCGGGTTTTGGGCTCTGCGACCTCGGGCAGGTGGATTCGTCCGGAGTGACGAGCAGTTTTTCGAGTCGGCACCACTGTCTGCCTGAAGCTGTCTTCCTGTAACAAGAGCAGCCATTTGCAATTGACTTGCTCGTCAGGTTGATTCGCCAGGTCGCGTTTTGGGAGGATGTGGAGGTGGAGAACAGCTCTTCCCCACGTGTCTGAGAGGCATGCGAATTCTTTGTCACGATCCTTCGCAACGCACTCGGACCTGATCAGGTCCTGAAATCAGGATCCTTTGCTACGCAATCCGGACCTGAGCAGGCCCTGAAATCAAGGAGCCGATTCCTCAGGCTCCAGCCTTAGACACGGGAGGAGATGGTCAGTTGCACTATGCACCAATTGACTTGCCCGTCAGGTCTCGGTCGGACCTCGCCCTCTGTCTGACTGAGGCTGTCTTCCTGTAATAATAACAGCCATTTGCAATTGACTTGCCCGTCAGATGTGGGTCGGACTTCGGCCGCCCGGGGGCCGGTCTTCCACACCTCTGTTTGGCTGAGGCTGTCTTCCTTTAAAAAGAACAGCCGCCTGCAATTGACTTGCCCGTCAGGTGTCGGTGGGACCTCGCCCTCTGTGGCTGAGGCTCTGTTACTTCAAAAAGAACAGCAGCCTGCAATTGATTTGCCCGTGAGGTGGTCGTCCACGCCTCTGTGTGGCCGAGGCCGTCTTCCTGTAATACGAACAGCCGTCTGCCGTTGACTTGCCCGTCAGGTGTCGGTCGGACTTCGGCCGCCCCACGGGGGTGGTCTTCCAGACCTCTGTTTGGCTGAGGCTGTGTTCCTTTAATAAGAAAGGCCGTTTGCAGTTGATTTGCCCGTCAGGTGTCGGTCGCAGCTTTGGCAACCCAGGGGGTGGTCGTCCACGCCTCTGTGTGGCCGAGGCGGTCTTCCGTTAATACGAACAGCCGTCTGCCGTTGACTTGCCCGTCAGGTGTCGGTCGGACTTCGGCCGCCCCAGGGGGGTGGTCTTCCACACCTCTGTTTGGCTGAGGCTCTGTTCCTTTAATAAGAACAGCCGCCTGCAATTGATTTGCCCGGCAGGTGTCGGTCGGATCTCGGCCGATCGAGGGGCGTGGTCTTCAACACCTCTGTTTGGCTGAGGCTCTGTTCCTTTAATAAGAACAGCCGCCTGCAATTGATTTGCCCGGCAGGTGTCGGTCGGATCTCGGCCGATCGAGGGGCGTGGTCTTCCACACCTCTGTTTGGCTGAGGCTGTGTTCCTTTAATAAGAACAGCCGCCTGCAATTGATTTGCCCGGCAGGTGTCGGTCGGATCTCGGCCGATCGAGGGGCGTGGTCGAAAGGACCAAAAAGGACCACGGCCAAGAGGACAAACACTCAGTCGACCACGAGCGATCCCGTCCGTCGTCGTGGTTGTGTTGCCCCTTGTACTCTTGAGCGTGGTCCAACGAACCTAAAACGACCACGAAGGGGTCCCAGGCAATCACCCCAGCTCCTGACCAGGTCTTTGAGATTTTGCCGGCCAAATACGTGGGCCAAGGCCACACTGACAAGTTTGCTTGCTGCCTGTCTCAATGTCTCTTCGTTGCCAGACCTTTCCTGGACCATGCACACAGAGATGATGGCTCGTGCTTCAGTTTTTTTCTCAAGCAACCTCTAACTGGGGAGAGGTTGCCTGCATGTTCCTCGTACGCCAAACGATCGGCCAGCGACCAGCACTAATCATGGCACTGCATTTCAAGCTACTTGATCATAGTAAAGGACTAGATTGTGCATGTGTGCAACAGTGCCGGAGGCCGGCATGACTAGGGACGTCAGCAAAGAACCATATTTGCCGGAGCCATGAAACGCCCTGCCGAGTCGGATGAGACGGCTGAACCGGCAGCCAAGAAAGCAGCTGTTGAGGATTTCTCCTCCGTGTTGGCTGAGCTGAAGAGCAGCGAGGACCTGGTCCCCTGCTTCCTCCGCAAGGAGATTCTGGGCAAGGAGATCCAGGAGGAAAGGGTCGGCAAGCTGCTTGAGCATCTTTCCGCCTTGGTGGGAACCTCCAACGGGAAAACCACCTGCATGGCCCATTTCCAATCTTGCTCGCCTGATGCAGTGAGACCGACCAAAGGGCACGTCCACATCTGTATGCTCAATTTTCTGACTGAGCGAGGATATGGTGCCTTGTCCGGGAATTAACTTGTCGTGCTGCCGAGTGCATGATGCTTCCTAAGTACTGATGGCTTCGTTTCTGTGCCCTCCCAGGTTTTGAGGTGACGGTGTCTGATTGTGTGCCCTTTGCTCAAGACATCCTGTCTGGACATTGTTCCCAGATACTGGAGATTGAAACCCTCGAGGGCAAGGGCGACGATGCTTTGAATCCTCGCGATAAGATGTTTTTGGGCTATGCAGCCGGAGGTGCATTTGTCAACAGTTTGATGCTGGGCAGCCTCGGCCTCATCGCCCTGGTCTGCTTGACCTTCTCTGCGAAGGCGAAAGAGTTGCCGGCGTCCGTGACTGAGATCCTGTCGCAGGTGCCCGTTGTTTGCCCCAGCAGAGGCAAGGGGCAGACACCGCAGGACCGCACTGTGAATGCACTGCACAAGACGTTGAAGGCGTCGCAGTACAACCGGCGCCTGACCCTTGTTATGATTGCTTCCACGCTACGAAGATCCTTGGAAGCCAGGCTTGCCAAGATCTCGCCTGACAAGGACACCGACTTGGCTTCGGACTCCGTCATGCGGGAGATCAGGGCCATCATTAAGGCCTTCAACAACAAAGCCTCGTTCATGCCGAAGTCTCAGGTCAAACCGCGGGGAGAATGGGCCCTGCGACACTCCCTTTCCGCCAAGCATATGCCTGACGAGGCCGGGTGTCTCAAAACTATTACATCAAAGTCACACCGTCTGTGTGCCCAGGTTTGGCATCGGGTCCTGCAAGTCTCCCGTTCCGCTTACTGGAACGACCACCTCCTGGAGACTCGCAGCTTCTTCGTGGGTTTGAGTGCGTCCAGCCCTCAGACTTTGCCTCCTCAAATCTCCTCTCCTGATGTATGCTTTCTGTCTGACGCTTGTGTGATGTCCCCTGCTCGTTTGGCAAATGTCAGGCGTGACGTGGCACACGAAGAGATGGAACAATTGTACAAGGCCACGACTGAGACCTCTTTTTACATCCTGCAGAGAATTCAGTCGGGAAAAGTACCGGGCTGCGACTTGGACAAGCCCATCCCGACCAGCCTGATCTCCAGCTTCGTCTCCAGAGTTTGCATTGTCTTCAGCATTGCGAGAACAGTGCTGGATCCGATTTCCACTGACTTCGGACACAAGCTCTTGGAGAACTTCGAGGCCGGTCGCCTGAGTGCTCGCCTGGACGACCTGGCCACCATGCCTGTCAAGGAGGAACAACAAAGGGGTTCCCTAAGTCATTTTTTTTCTTGCACCCAGTCCACTCTGTACTGCTGTCCTGCCAGGACTACAACCACAAGTCCGATGCTGCCGCCCTCGTTGCCAAGTACGTCCCCTTGGTTGATGAGATGCTTACAGGTAAGAAACAAGAGGAGATGGCTGAGAACGCCGAAGCGGAAAAGGAGAAAGAAACCGCGGAACAGGAAGCTGTGCAGGAGGCTGAGGAAAAGCTCTGCCTCGCGAACCTCAAGCATGATTGGGAGATCTACGAGGCATGTGCTTGCTTTCTTTTTTTCAAATTGCCCACAATTACTCCGCCCAGTCAAAGACGAATGCTTTGCCGCCAGGCTTGGCACTGTACGTCTGCCGTGACCATGGATGAGTGGAGAGATAGCCAGCAATCCTGGCAGAAGGACTTTTTCATGTTTCGCGACCTTGCAGACTTCTGCTTAATTGCTTTACATGCTGTGCTTCTTTAAGCCTGCAGGAACGCCACAACATATTGTGGAAGGAGGCCGGGCGGCGGCTAGGCTTTCTGGCCACTGTGGACCACCTCAGCAAGGAATGCTATGCCACGAGGGTGCCCTCGCAGGTCCGAGGACTCTTGTCGGGAGAAATGGCAGATGCTGCCGTGCTTGTCGTGGCTGACCTACAAGGGCACGTACCGCATTGCGACCTGGAACGCACGTTGTGCGACACCATGGCAAGCATCCCAGAAGCGGCGAAACTTCTGCTGTTCACGGATATGCCGCCCCGCCGACACAAGACTGAGAAGACCGTGCAGATGCCAAGCTCCATGCAGGTGGACGCGGACGAGGCGGAGGAGAGCGATTGCGAGCCTGAGGAGCAGGACGGCGACCACTCACTCCCTGCCGTCCGTGCCGAAGGCAATGTTCGCCTGACGTTGCCTGAGAAGCAGACGCTGCTGGCTGAGCACCGAAAAGTGCTGAGCAAGCAGCTGTCTGAGACCTTTGGCGACGGTGTGAACAAGCACTTCGACCTGCCGTTCACACTGCTGTTCAACATGCCACTGCAGGGCCGGCTGACGATGGACGGGCTTCTTGTGCAGCCGATCAAGGGCATGAGCTGGCTAGATGGCACATGCTTGGCGTCCGGTGGGGTCGGCGTGCTGCAGCGACCCGACAAGGTCGTCAAGTTCAGCAAGGAGGCCACCCGGAACATGCGCAAGGAGCAGTGCGGACCCACCAGTGTCGCCAGGAACGGTGTGAATGAGGGCCAGCGGCTTCAGAAGGGACCCGGCATCTGTGGACACATCCTGCGAAATCTCATGATTTCTCTCGTGCGGCACAAGGTGCACAAGGCAGGCCTGATCGTGGTTGACCTCTGTTGCGCCCAAGGCGACTGGCTCCTGGCCATGGTGGCTGAGCAGATGCACATCGAACTGCCTGACCGCTACGACATGGATGATGACGAGGTGCCTCTTGATGGAATGCCTGACATACCCATGAAGTACGTCGGCTTCGACACGCGGGAACATGCAGTCGGATTTGCAAGCATCCGAGCCCAATCCGAAATCTATGAGAGGCTGAGTGCTTCCGAGCTCGGCTATGCCGCCCCTCCCGTCTTGCAGGATGACAAACCCGAGCCGGTCTGGCAGAACCTGGTGGCTGAAGTGAACCGCCAGCTGAAGATCCTCAAGGTGAAGAACAAAGATGGCAGTCTGACGGTGCCCGCCCCGAAAAATTTCAAGCTGCAGCGGGACAGCGTCTTGGAAGCCTTGGAGGTGCTGCAACGTGAGGCAGCAAGACTCGGCCCACGCTTTGGCGAGACTGAGAAAGCGAAGACTGAGAAGAAACCGGCTACACAGCCGGTTTTGGCATGCATGCCCGTGTCTGAGCTCATGGCTCTGCCTTATTTCGAGGCTTCTGCCTATGAGGACGAAGACGCCCCCGCCCCGTTGAAGACCCTTATCGTTCAAAGGTCTGAGGGCCATGGTTCTGGCTGGCAGCTCTGGCTAGCAAACCCAACGGCTGATCCGCTCCAGATGAAGAAAAGAAGCCCTGTGGTGCCGCTGGGCCAGCTCGCCATCGTCGAAGAAGCCGACACGGATGGCTTTTGTTTGCCCTTTGAAGTGACCGGCATGAACAATATCCTCGGCTTCCTCCTGGACGGCGACCCCTATTTCTTGACGGTGACGCAGACCCTCAAGAAGAACGAGATCGTCGTGGACTCTGCCAACAAGGCCGCTTCACTCATCTGTTTTCCTTCGCTCTGGCGCATGTCAACTCAGCAAAGACACATGCCTCTCATCGCATGTCTTTTGTCCCGCAGGCCTCGGCTTTGATGTACGGACACAAGACGACAATCAAGGCCAATGGTGCTTTGAGCATCAGCCCTGCGGGTACTTTGATTGCCACCGAACGCCTGAGCCCCCTCAGCTTCACGGTGGAGGAAATGAAAAAGTTCACAGAGGAGGAGAAAAGCCTCCGGCTGAATCGTCTGGGGCAGCTCTTCTGGACCATGGAGTCCAAAAAAAACAACAAATTTCTGTGTCTTGGCTTGCTTCCTTTCACATACCTCTTGAGTTACTGGTCTTACAACCATGTACAACCATGCTGGACCTTCCTGTAAGCAGGCAGCCCGTTTTCATGTGGGAGCTGAACCCCGGCATTGACGAGGCCGAGTTCGCAACGCGCCGAAGCTTGGACTTTCCCAGGATACGCCATGTGTCCAGGAACACTTCAAGGATGCCGAAGCTCCTTAGTTTTGCGCAATGCCATGACCTGAGGCATTCTGGCACCTTACTCTCCAACGGAGAGTTTGGCATCGGGCGATGTGAACGCATGGCAGCTTCGTCCTACTAATTCATTTGGTGTCCTTATGGTCCTGGTCCCAAGTCCGTTTGTCTGACTTCTTGGTTCTGCTGCTTGTCTTCGTTGACCCACGAACTGCTGCCAGTCAGGTTGCTGTGTGCCAGGGACATCACTGTCAAACCCGGTGAGGCGGTGCAGCTTGCCTGATGTCCGACCTGAGGGTCTTCTTCACGAGTGCATACTCAGCCTGTCTGATATTGTTCAACATTGCAAGGGATCCTGTGAGTAACTACTTAAATAAATATTTGGTTCGCAAAGCTTTCTTAAGACTCTGTGCTGGGGCCACATGATCAGACTGAGTGGTTTTGTTATGCACTCCTGGAAAGTGCACAGAGGATAGGACGTGCACTGTCAGCCTCTGCTCTTCCTCACCAGTGCATACTGGGCCTGTCTGATGTTGTTCTACATTGCAAGGGATCCTGTCAGAAACTACTTACTTCATTGATTCTCAAAACCTCATTCATTCAGACTGTGTGCTCAGGCAACATGGCCGGACTGACTAGTGTTGCTATGTACTCGTGGAAAGTGCACAGAGGATAGGACGTGTACTGTCAGCCTCTGCAAGCCTGATGTCAGCCACTCCATGATGCGGGCCTGACAAAAAAAGGTCGCCGTACTAGCCTTCTGACTGACAGATTCATGAGGAGAGCCGTCAATGCTTGCTGTCGTTCCGGCTTGATGGGAGGTGAGTTCTGCCTGATCCAGTCCTCTGGCTAGAACCCCAGCAGACTCGTTCAGCAGTAATGACTTAGTCCAGGAATCTGAAGTGTGCCGCTGTGTGCCAGGTAACGGGTGTCCCAGTCTCAGCCTCTTGTCTTGCTGCATCCTCTGGGTTATCGTTCCGGCTTCATGGCAGGTCACGTATCCAGTCCTCTGGCTGGAACCCCATCAGACTGGAGCAGCAGTAATTACGTAGTCCAGCAATCTGAAGTGTGCCGCTGTGTGCCAGGTACCTCTTCCTGTTGGCAGCGGGGACACCCGTTGTGTCCCAGTCTCAGCCTCTTCTCGTGGTGCATCCTCTGGGTTATTGTTCCGGCTTCATGGCAGGTCACGTATCCAGTCCTCTGGCTGGAACCCCATCAGACTGGAGCAGCAGTAATTACGTAGTCCAGCAATCTGAAGTGTGCCGCTGTGTGCCAGGTACCTCTTCCTGTTGGCAGCGGGGACACCCGTTGTGTCCCAGTCTCAGCCTCTTCTCGTGGTGCATCCTCTGGGTTATTGTTCCGGCTTCATGGCAGGTCACGTATCCAGTCCTCTGGCTGGAACCCCATCAGACAGTCCAGCAATCTGAAGTGTGCCGCTGTGTGCCAGGTAGCTCTCCCTGTCGGCTGCCGGGGACACACGTGGTGTACCAGTCTCAGCTTCTTCTCGTGGTATGTCGGAGTGTCGCTGTTCTGCCCGCAACCCTTCCTCCGAACGCTCGCAACCTTCCCCTTGAAATCCCCTTAATTAGGCCACTGTGATAGGGCCCGGGAACAGGGACTGCACTGGGTCTGGGAATCTTCCGCTTGAAACGTTGAACTCCGCCGCAGCAATTTTTGCAGTTTTGGGAACCCCATGGAGTTGCAAACCCGATTAAGGTCGAACAGCGCTGGAATTGCCTGTACATTCCTCTTAATTAAGGATTGAGGCTAGATTGTCTCCAACTTTTGGGCTTCTGCAGACTCTGGGTTCGGGTGCCTGACTTTCGTCCATCCTTCGGTAAGATCGCAGAAGTCGGTCTGAAGAGCCAGCTGGGGATACCTCTAATTTATGCCTGAATGTAACTGTGGCACCCGGGCACTTTGGGGTTCTACTGTAGCTGTGCTCGCCTTGCCTGAAAGCCATGTCCACGTGTCTGAGCGATTTGCTGCTCGACATGGAACGCCTGAGCAGGCACTACCAATGGAACAGGTGGCACCAACGCTCCTTTGACTTGTTGCTCAACGACATTTGGAGCATGGCTGGAACAGAGGATGCCCTTAAGCTGGATGCCTGGCATGACATGTGGCATGATGCCGAAAAGAAGGCTGTCGTGCCCGCGCTAGGGGTCAAGGGCGGTGTGTTGGCAATCCGGAGTTTGACCAGCATGCCATTTGGCCCTGCCACTGCAGCGAAGTATTGCGAAATTGCATACGCTCGCTGGGCCCTCGACGAGAACCGCATGAACCGCCCAGTGCAGCTCAACAACTATGCGACTGAGCAAGATTTGGTGTGGTGGCTTCTTCGCTTCGGGTCTGATGCCTACCACCTGCTCCAAAAGCTCCGCCTGATCTTCCCCGACATCAACCCTAAGGCGATCATGTCGTGGGAGGATATGGAGGCCTTCATCCCCAGGGTGCGAGCAGAGCTTGAGATGCATGCCCAGTGAGCCGTTCATGGCCTGGAGTGCGAGCACAGCTTCTTCTGCATGAAGCAAAGCTGCAAAGCTTCAGCTGTTCAGCTGTCTGAAGCCGGAATACTTCAGCTGGCTGAAGCCGGAATCAACACTGCTTGCTGCAGTCATATGCAGCCTGAACTACCAGTGCATGAGATCATCTCATGCATGTTGCCGCCGCCATGCTCCTGGCTTTTCCTGCGGTCCAGAATATCAGCTGCAACTGCACGTACAGTGCCTTACCGGCTAAGCTGCAAGGGCAGGAAGAAAGGCTACAAGTTGCGTTTCC